CAAGAATCCACGAAAACTGCGACAACTCCCGTTCCGAAAAACCCACAAACCGGCTTTTCGGAACGATGATTGAATGGGCGCGCACGAATGGGCGGGCATTACTGGAGGAGGGGAGTGTCGACTGATCCTCATGCATCGTTATACCAAAGCGATTTTCTTGATTTCGAAGCGACATTTTGAGCCGCGACTTGGGCAGTAGCTTGATAGGAGGTCGTACTATCGCAAGTTGCCAACAGCTAAAACTCCCAAACCGTGGGAGACGCTGCCTTTAAAAAGGCTTTTTATATCGATGGAAGCTTCTTTTGTCCGTGATGGGACAGCGCCGCCGAGCTCTGGGCCAGTTCAGGGCCTAGAACTTTACGACGTTGTTTAGTGTTTCTTTTTGCAATCTTTCAACTTGTTCAACATAAAACAGCAACAACGCAGACATTGTTGCCAGGACCGAAAGGACAAGCCAAAAATATTTTGAAACGCTAAGAATTAAGTTTAATGTAGCGTGCATTTTGCCCCTACAAAAGAAAAATACTTCAACTAGGTGCAAGTATATCTCTTCTCAAAGGCAGTGTCCCGGCAGATTTTGCATTTCCACCTTTCTGCAAGTTTTAGGCCTTTTCGCCACTTAGAACTCGAAGTTGAGCTTTGAACGGGCTGAAAGGGCCGACTATGGGTCGTTTACCCAATTCCAAAAAAGCAGATCGGACGAGATTTTTAATGGAAAGTTGGAAGGTCCTCACACGAAGATCCTGCAGCCTGTAATTTTTGCTTCGCGTAGCATGCACAGTGAGGGACAGCGGTTGTGGGGTGTGGGCCCCGAACAGACAAGGAAAGCCGTCCGAGCGCGCGCCAATTGGAGTCGCGCGCGCCTGTTCAGGGGCCATTTTCTTGGCTCAGGGGAACATCAACCAGCCGGTCTGCGCCTGAGGTCAGTGGGGTGACAGGGAGCCCCACCACACCTATATCCCCCAAGGCGCGAATCTGCCGGGACACTGCCTTAAGAGGCGTGCATAGTTTCTACGCCTTCAACGTCCAGACTTTGGATCGCAGCTGAGAAAATCGTGGAGGTTTAACTAAGATGTTCCTTGAGAGGTAATGCAGATTTTGCACTTGCGGCACTGATTATTCGTACCCAAACCAGACATCGCTAACGTATTTGGCGGACGACTGGCATCGAATTTCATGCCATTGGAGGCACGTTGCTCTCATGAAGACTCAGACAATTATTACGAGCATCCGCGGCCCTTAATAGTGTCTTTTGCTGGCGCGCGGGCGTTGAATTTTCATACTGACCATCCGCGGATCTTGACTCATTTGCTTGGCGACCCGCGGCCCAATATTTTCGCTAGGTAAAGGCCGCGGGTTTTAATTGTTCTACCGGGACACCCGCGGCCCGGGAAAAAAGACTCGGGCGGGCCACGGACCTTATTGAAAGCACTACATATTTGGTTTTCGGACAAGCCGCGGGCCTTATTATAGTTTCTGCACCGGGCAAGCCTCGGCCCTTGTAGAACACCGCTCATATCGTATCTCGGTTATCCGCAGGCCTTAATGGGCGCCTTGAACGTCATTTTCGGGCAGGCCCCGGCCCTTCTAGGCAACGGCCCAACAGAATCAGTCTGGCGAGCCGCGGGCCTTGCCGAACGCCGCAATTCTTACATGCTGTAAGCAAAAACGTTACTCGCGTGAGATACGCCGCGCAAGAGGTACCCTCAACGTTCAGCTTGTTGCTTATCGCTCATTGAAATGTGGCTAGTAGTAAAGACGCTCTACTGAGGGTTCTCTCCCAGGGTTACCCTGCAGCTGGAACTTGGGCCTTACGACGGAAGACAAATTTTGGCACGTATCCTGACCCATGTGCAAAGGCGAGGGAAATGTAGACAGGTGTATTCAAAAAATGGAATAAATTTACATTACTGCGTTTAGCAACCGCCTATCGGGCCACCCGCATATCGCGCATCTGTCGGGTGCTTGTCTGGACATTCGCGGGCGTCGTTCGAGCGCTTACCGGCGCATCCGCGGGTAACTCTCGGCCGCTTAGCGTGGGTTTATTCTACCATCCGCGGCATGGATGAAACGTCGGCGGGGGCCCTTCCGCGGGTGGTCGCAATAATTGTCTGAGGAGTCCCCGCCCAGACCCTGCAGGCCGACGGAAGCTGTTCGCTAAATACGATAGTGGGACAAGTGTCCGGACGCTGCCTTCAAGGCTGGCAGATTGCTGGCATTATAAAATCTCAATTTTGACAAATGGTTACAAGCTGCACGAGGGACAACGTTAATCTTGTCAATCAGATTTGTGAATCCTTTCAGAAAGCAAAGATCTTGGGCCTCAACAATGGAAAAAATCTGGGTAGTCATGACTTCTCATTGGATAATATTGAAAGACCTTAGCTAAGTCGATAAGCAAGCGGATGCTGTTATAATCTATTCAAAGCCGTCAATTCTGCTCTTATCTGCCCGGTACCTAGTCAAGAAAGAGTGAGCTGCCGTATGAGCAATGGTTGCTGAAGCCCTCATTCAGTTTCCACGTGCAAAGCCAGATACTCAGACTTGCCTGGAAGCTGTCTTAAGCAAGGGAGCGCTAACATGATAATCTCATTTTGAAGCAACTTTAGGACTTCAGAGCGAGATCGAATATTACTAGTCCATTCATCAGCGCTGATCTAAGGCTTATTCAGCAGCAGATCACCGACAGCCAGGCTAAATTAGTAACCATATCAGCTAGTCTCGCTAAGTTAGTCTTTTTGTTCAGTGTTTGCGATAATATCGGATTGATGAGAGGTTTTTTGAGACATTGAATCTAGTAGCCGCTTTGAACAGAGTTCATATCTCGGTGTGCATATCAAAGGAAACAAGCGGCACATTCTCGGATACCTGAGTGAAATGGACAAACGCACATATATGAAGACGCCTCATGGAAAGCGCCTATAAAAGCAAGAGTAATGAGTAACGGGAATAACGAAGGTTGAAGTAATTCTTGCTTTTGACGCTGAGTCCCAGATACTGCCTTCAACAAGAAAACGCATGAACATAGTATTGGCTTCCTCGCAAAAAGACCACCTACATCCCATGCTTCAAAAAGCAAGTTCAACTGTCATAAGACCGTCTGGCCAAGTGCCGCAGTCGGTTCACCGTATTGAAGGTATAATAAGTTGAACAAACGAAGATAATGTACAGAAGTGAAGGGGACAAACTTGTTTCATAAATTGCTCGCGATAACTTAGGGTGTCTTCATACCGCGCCGGCAGCCGCCGCTAGCAGGCCGTAGCACCTGCTGACAGCCCGTAGCCGCCGCTGGCCGCTTTTGTCATAGCGCAAAATCATCAAATTCTTACTACTTATGCGCCCACCCACGCTTTCCATCTTACAAGCGTCTTTCTTCCTATTGCGGCTAAAGCGCAATTCCACTTTCACACACTACCGAGTTATTCAAGATAAGCACCGGTCGAGGATATGATTGAAGCAGCACGCATAAAAAATAAACACTGCAAAAAATGGACGCATAAAGTTAGACGAAACACCGCGAAGAAACTTTGGCGAATTATAGTTCAAATGCAAGAGGGAAACTGAGCACCTATTGGATAACCGATGAACAGCAACAAGATAATAACAACAATGGACACAAATATAATATATTAGATCGAATTGCGACAACAGGGAGGAAAAAGCGTGAAAGCGTAGGCGGTTGCACTTAAAATAGTAAGAATTTGATGATTTGGCACTTCTATGACAAAACGGCCAGCGGCGGATACGGGCTGCTAGCGGCTGACGGGCTGCTAGCGGCGGCTGCCGACCCGGTATGAAGGCACCCTTACGGAAAAATTTTATCTCTTTCTCCACTTATGTACACTATCCTCTAGTTCGACTTATTATACCTTCAATAGATAACTAACGGCACATTTGAGTTTACATGATTCTGCATACAAGAGCGCGCAAGCGGACCATATACGGTCCAAAGGAGAAAATCGTTGAACAGCTATTCGCATCAGGAGACGAGGAAACTGAGAAGTGGACTCTTCCTTCCTTTTCAAACTCTCTTCCCAAAATTTTGATAGAGCTTGAGGTTAGAATTCTCCATTTCATTTACTTTATAGAATTATCCATTTTATTTACTTTCTACTGGCCATGTTAGTTTGTTGATAAAGAGTTGCAAATTATTATCTTGCTTCATTTCTCGTTAGCTTGGCAAAAACTTTGATAGCGGTCATCATCGCCTTGATTGTAGCCGCTTTTAAGAAATGCGCGCCTGCCTAGCAAAAAGAGGGTCCTATGAAGCTCTCGAGCATGTCCCTTCTTCAAAAAACAATGATTCACCCATTCAACAAAGCCTGCACAAATGCTTCTTCTTGAAGCGCATACGTTTGGCATTTCTGCATGTTCGTATCGAGATCCATGGCACGTTTGATACTGCGCTGACACCGTAAGTTCAACAAGCCAGCCTCAGTCGAAGTTGCGATGACCGAGGGTTTGCTATACCAATGTCATACATATGAGAGTACGGGCGCACAATTCCACTCTTGTATGTATTTAAGGCAAAGTGTCATTTCTAAGGCAGTGTCCGAAAACTCTTTCGCCAACCCAGTAAAAGCCCTCAACATGGTGACGACTTCGTGAGAGTTATCTTTGAATGACTAACACGGAGGAAGGTTGGTCGAAGTGACATTTTTTATAGCGCTAAATTGGTAGTCGGGTCACTCGGTGCAACAAATATTCTTGATTCAAATGTACCAATTCACTGCTGCCTCATTTGAACATTGGGAAAAGGTTACAACCGATTTTATATTTTCGCATTCAGATTTTTGCTCACATCCTTCATAACTTTTCGCCTAGAAGCCCGCAGCAGATAGCAAAGGTAGATTTGCGATCAGCGTTCCAAGCTCTACAAGGCAGTATACGTCTCTTTCAAAAGGCCACTTCGACCAACCTTCCTTCCCTTGTAAGTCAACGATGTGAGTTTCAGCGAGTAACAAGAAAGCAGACAGATTGTCTAGAAATTAGATGCTAACCCTCTGGTCCAGGCGAGACCTCAATTTCAAATAACGACTCGACAACATGCCCGTCCTTACCCGTCTCTGGACGGATAAACCCATTTCGAGGACGCCAACGTTCCCAGTACAATTCGTCCTCGGCAGCCACGGTGAGCCTAGATGAAAAAGACCTTAGCATCACTTAGAATAATTTGAAAGTAACTTCTTCTTGAGTACATGAATTGCACAGCTCCGATGTCTCTTTCGGCCGTCCATTGAACTTCAAGAAGAAATTTTTTATTACTGTCTGCGTGCGTTAACGCATCATTCGAATCTGAGTCATCACATTTTTGGTAGCGTACACCTGAAATGTTTGAGATGGCGGAAAACTCAAAATTTTGGCAAAATTCTCACCAAAAATATCACCGTTGTTGCCAATGATAAAACGTCCACCTCTCAAAGAACCTGAAAATAACAGAAAAATTTTTTTTGGGAAGGGACCACTACATTTTCGCTTACCTATCATATATCCTTCAGGTGTACAAAGCCGTGATTGTATCATAAAGCCTCGAAAATGGATATATCCCACAAGGCGGACTAAAAATAAACCCTATGTATTATTCGATTCTCGAACGAGTCGCAACCCAAAGTCCCACTTTTATAACTTTCGCCCGGCGTGTAGTACTCTACTCCATTGCCCTTGTCGTCGATCACAGAAAACTCGAATGGCGGTGTCGTAATGTGAGGTTCACCATGCAATTTGCGATCCAATTGCATCGAATTCAACTGCTTACAGTGAAATCCACTCATTTCTGTGAGTGTGGCCGCTGCATCGTTAAGAAGGAGAATAGCAATACCAATATAGGTAATAGATGACATGTGGTAGCAGGTGCAGCTTTAGAAAAAAAAGTCTGAAAAGTGTATCCATAGCTTTACCGTATCTACTGATTTACATACAAATTGAGAAAGTTTAGAATAAGCTAGTAGAAAAACCAAAGAAGATAAGAAGGTAACTGCAAAAAAATGAGACACCAAAGTTCTCCCGTAAGTAAATGGCAAGTTGCATCTTAAAAGAGAAGTTTAAGGTCAGTATAGAAACTACACACATAGATAAAATCATTATAATTACCTAGATCTGGAAAACACATGTCAGCAATGATAGAATCAAAATATACAACAAAACAAATATCATCTATTCTATGACTAGGAGACGCGAGACCGCATTGCGGACATTGGGTTAACAAGTTTGAGTTTGTTCTTCCCTGTTTTCAAAGAGTGTATAAACCTGGGCGAGGTAAATAACAAGTTCGAACCAACTAAGTACACGAATAGGCTTGTTTAGACAATGTATGCAATGCGGTCTCGCGTCTCCCAGTCATGGAATGAATGATAGCTTCAACTTTTAAGAGAAATGAATCACATATTTCACCTATCCTTTTCATATCAAAAAGGCTATCTGTGTACAGAAACGCATGACACTGCACGTACATTCAGCCGTTTACAGACTTCGGTGATCAAATTTTGAAAAAAATACTCTTTGCAAAAGGACATAACAAAAATATAGTTGTTTGGTATCTTTATTGCCTTGATAGTCACAGTATCAGATATACAAGTATAATTTACAGAGTATTGAAACAATCAGTTAGCGGCTACAACGCTCTCTGCAGAAATCATAAATAAACATAATAAGTAAGTGATACTAAGTCTCATCTTTAGAATGATCCCACTTGTTTTGAGTTAATCTTATATATAAAGCTGAATGTCCGTTTGTCTGTATGTCTGTCTGTCTGTATGTATGTGTGTACGTATGTTCCGAATAGAAAATTCCATTTCTAAACCGATCGGAACCAAACTTGGCACACATACACTTCGGGCCCCGACGGGTGTCATAGGCTACTTTTCGTATCGATCGATATCGATTTTATCGATTTTTTGCAAAATTAGAGCTACAGGGCTGGGAGTTGGCACCGGGGGTTAATCGAGCATGCTGATTATTAATATGTTATTGACAGGCCCGGGCGGAGCCGGGTTTGCCAACTAGTCATTATATAAAAACCAAGCTGAATAGGATAAGAGTATGAGTATCACTCATTACAACCAACGTAAACCTAAAGAAGATACATATTGTGGATCGTTGCCTATATCAATTCTTTTTAGAAGCATATTTACACATAAACTCATGAATTTTATCAACTTGAAAATAAGTTCGCGTTAAACAGTATTGTAATAGGTTGGAAACCAAGTATTGCAATTCTTGAACAGCTTTAATTTCTTTGCATATGACGCATTCAAATTCGCAGTCATGTATGTACTCATGTAAGCTACAAGCACAGCTGCTGTTCTACAAAATTACGGCGTCAAAGTGAGAGTTACGGCAGGCATATGGTATAAGGGGAAAAGCTGCAAATTGATACAGGTTTGGCTGAAAGTGGTCATTACGATCTACATAATGCTAAAGTTTGAATACGCTACATTCGAAGAGAGCAAAGCTTATAGAGAAGTTGCAGAACTTGCAAGGGATTAGTCAGAAATCGAAGTGGCCTATTTAAGCGAGCTGTTTATCATTAGATGCCGCATAAAATGCTGACTCTAAATCTGTCTTTCTTATCTGCAGAACACTTTTGTGGATGAAATTATAAGTAGTTGAAGGCCATTATTTTGCTAAGAAATGTGCGTGTAAAAGGCGAACTTGGGTGAACAGAGCCATTGTCGGCTCAGTCCTGGACCAAGACATGCAACTAGGCCACTTCATATGCCCCGTACCTCTGAGCTAAAAGGGCAATAATGTGTCCAATCTCGCATTTTTTGTGTACGATTTTTTCGCAGTAAAGCTGCTTATAATAACTTCGCCTACAGAGGCGTTCTGCAGATATTGAAATCAGCGTTCTATGCTGCATCCAAAGGTATGCAGCTTGTTTGGACTAGCCATTTCGACTTTTGACCATTCCCTTGTTAGTTTTCAACCTAATTTTCTTATATACAAAGCTGAATGTATGCTGTCTGTCTGTATGTATGGGGGGGGGGGGAAAGTGTCGTAGGCTGCTTTTCGTTATCGGTATCGATCATCGATTTTTATCGACTTTTTCTGTAAAGTTTAAGCTACGGGGCTGGGAGCTGACACAGGAGGGTAATCGAGCATGATGTTACGAATACAATATTAGTTTTGGGAATTGTCTGTTACTTTTATCGACTTTATCGATTTTTCTGCAAATTTTGAGCTACGGGGTTGGGACTTGGCACAGGGGGTAATCGAGTATGCTGTTTACTAATACAGCGGGAGTAGGGAATTGGCGCTTAGAAATGGGCAAGGAAAAATTGTGCAGGGATAGTGATGGGACCTTTATTATAGTGTTTTGACAGGGCCGGGCGGAGCCGGGTAAGCCAATTAGTATAAAATATAAGTCTATGATGAGCATGACGAGTTCCGTGGAAGTATTATAAATTTACTAACTCCAAGGGATGAAACGAAACGAAGATTAACATGTGTTAACAAAATCACATTTCTTGTAATAATGATTCGTTAACTCCCGACACTGAAAAATCAAAATAACACTGTAAACAACCTCGACTCATTCATAACAACATGCGTATTGCACAGCATGCGTGCTACACGACGGCTTGTAAGATTGGAATCGGCTGTTTTCCAGTAAGTTCTCCTTGTTTCCTGTATCTGTTGGTTTGGTTGGATATGTATTGGTCAACAGTACACAATTTAGAGTTCGTTATGTTGAAGAAGGTTTTACTGAGGAGTTACTAGTGAAAGTGCCGTCAGTTGTCGCGCATAGTGTCCAAATTTACATACTTATTGTTAGATACGAATGACACAATGATGCATTGAGTCAAAAACCTGATGACAAAAGCTGAGACATTCGATTGCTTGTTAACAGATTCAAGTAAAAGAGACAAATTTTGAACTGTTGATTTTTCTTATAAACAGAACAAATAATCTGTTTATATTGACTGGATGTTCTGTTCTTCCATATCAACTTGTTATTTATGACTTCCCAGTTACGAGCAAAAGCCTCCCAGTATTGCAAGATGTAAGACTGGGGAAATTTTTAGATAAGCGTTCACCTGAGTGAACTAAGCGATCTTTCCCCATTAGGGTCATTCAATACACTATTATGATGCAAAGCACAGGTGAAATATCGCATATAATGGTATGGAAGATGCAAGAGTGAAAGTGATGAATACAAAAAGCATGGAATAAAAATCAGCAAGAAGTCGCGAGGGGAATAATGAAGGCAATGATGATTGGGTAAAATCTAAGGTAGAATATGCTTTTTTGCCTTTTACTAAGCAATCAGAAAACTTTTATGGGAAAATTAGAATTTCCAAGTGAGACATCTGATGGATAGCAGCTAAGGGTGCCTTCATACCGCGCCGATAGCCGCCGCTAGCCGCCTTTGAGAACTACTGCATTATTCGGATCCAATTATCGAAACCACAAAATTGCTCAAACTTGCTTAAGTGGGGTTATTCGGCATGCTAATTACAAATAACGTAATCTTTTAACTTTTTGGAAAGGCATTGGAATATTGGGATAGTGCGCAAAAGCGGCTATAGGCGGCTAGCGGCGGCTGCCGGCGCGGTATGAAGGCACCCTAAAATGTGCGATCGTCATTTCATGTCAAAGATAAGACAAAAGTTATATGCCAATACCTGTTTTAGGAATTTGGTAAGTTCTTACACTGCAAAAGCAATCATCTAGAAAATTCCATGGAATATATAAATTATCGAATGGTGGTAATTATAGATATGAGTTATGACCAGTCGAGCGTTTAACATTCTCATCGCGAAAACTTAGCAAGCACACTCAGAAATAGCAAAAGGACAGTTCTCTTTTACCAAACTTGCACAAAATAGATAATAATCGAAAATCTTAAACTCTTCTAGGCTGACCAAACCTGAAGATTTAGAAGCTGGAGAAAGAAGAGAAAAAGTGAGAAAGAAAGGGAAAGAATCGTGGAAAAAAGATAGGGTCTGAGGATGAATTTGGGATCAAGATGATGTATTAGACTGCTGTTGAGAACAGAGGAAACAGGGAAAGAAAAACTATTGAAAAATTATATGCCCACTGGGTCCTTTGAGGAACATAAATATAACAAAACGAAAGGAAAATATTCCATAGGCATAAAAAGTCGCACCCTATAACCAAATAGCAGGTTTAAACTAAGGTCTAAAGGTTTAAGTCGAAAGCGCTTAATGCGATTCTGCCCCCCCCCCCCCCCCCTCTCCCCTTAGCAAAAGGGGAACATTAGCGCATAACCATTGCTAGAAAACATTCACGATCAAACTGGTTTCTCATTGCAGTTTACTCTTATAGCCCGAATGCTTTACGAGAGGCGAATAAACCTGAAAGTTTAGAGATTTATGGTCTTTTACGGTAAAAAGTAGCTGGACTATGCTAATTTGAGTACCCATAAAGTTGCTTGCTGCGTTCCGAACGTCAAAGTCACACATTTATGACCCCGGCTGTCACTTTTGTAGGAGCGAATAGTTATTGGTCATACAGTAACGGCACAGAATGGCAGCAAAATGCCACACCCGGGGCGGCACAGCCCGTCAACCGGATAATTACCCAACGATTTGTGACT